GAGTTGAAGTCCATAAGTGATAAAAGAGCCAAGTTTCCCTACCCCTGGTATAGGGTCTCCTGCTTGAGCAGGGGATTGGACTAGAAAGACCTCCAAAGTCACTTCCAGCTCTATTCTGATTGATTGATTGATGAACCAAGAGGAAGAACTGGGCAAAGAAAGGGAAAAGAGATAGAGAAAAAATGCTGTTAAAAAAGGGTTAAAGACTAATCTTTGGAATAACTTTAAAATGTATCCCCTATCCACTACTATTTTACATCCAGTTGCACATTTGCCTATTGGCATTACTTCCCCCATTCCTCCAATTTAGAAAAATATTCAAGTATTTTCTGAACAAACTACATACAGTATTCAGTATTCACCATGCTGTCATATACATACAAATAAGTAAAATTGTTCTTTGAAATTTGAGTTCTGCAATGTCATATATCATCCAGTACTTACTATATACCAGTACATGTTAACTTTCAGGGGTACAGAACTTGGGTTTAGCAGTTGAACACAACTACAGTAGTCCTATTTTTAAACAAAATATTTTCACTCAGCATCCACAAGAACTACTGTATTCTTAAGTGGCAACTCAGCACACATCTCCTGGTTCAATGATTTCCACTGCTTGTAAAATCAGATCCCACCTGTATAGTCTTCTACCTGTTTAGTCTGCTGTATGATGATATATGCTGACATTTTGTTCAGTTTCCCCTGGGGAAATCTAGCCAAATCTAGGTTTTGTTCTTGATTTAATAATTCGGAAGAGAAACCAACAAAGAATACTAGTTGATTCATATTGCTAAACAAACCATAGAGCCATGCTTGATGATTTAGCCATTCCTGATGGCAGAAGAAATAAAATAGAAGCCTCATCATGAACTCTATGCTTACTTGGAATCTGGATAAGCGAATTCTCAAAAATGCAGATTTATTGTTATGTGAACATAGTCAATAACAGATAGATAAAGCTGTGTTGAAGGGGAATACTTATTTGCATGTAGCATGTCACAGTCTATGCCAGAAGGATGGGCTAAATGGCAAATATGCTGCTTCATACCTGCTAGGTCTATCCATTAGCAGGTGGAGCTTCTAAAGTACAACAGGTGGTTGGTTAGTCAATTTTAGCACAACAGGATTCTAATTTCTGCCTAGAGAGTTCATTCTCTGATTTATTCTAAGCAAAAAAAGGCAGAATTATGTTTCCATATTCACATTATGTTTGACTATCCAGTACATTTCTTCAACTACATCTTGTATGTATGTTTATCATCGCACCAACTTTATGAAGTTTATATATGAACATATATGAATTGGCCCACTGCATCTGTTTGACTCCCTTTCTATATATCATGCTCACATAACTAGGAAATGGTTTAGCTACTTCATAATTTGAGAATTTGTCTTTCATAATTAAAAATACCCAGCAAAGTCCATTGATAACCAATGCTGCAGTTTTTATCTTCCCAACCAGCGTAAAATCATTACCTCTGGATATATACAAAGGAGTGCAAAATATGCATCCATTCTCGCTAGCCAGTGTTTATGTCACATATTGTAGTTTGCAATTATATTTCAAGCATGTTTAGGTGAAAAATTACTATTAGTTAAATAAAAGAAAATCTATCTGTATTATAGACTAAATTACTTTATAATTAAAAAGTTTCCATGTTAAAAAGATAAAAAAACATAAAATTATAATAACACATAAATGGAACACAAATAGTCAAAGTGTTTTTGTGTTTTCTTTCTTTTTTATTATGTTGTTATAAAACATGATAGATCGCAATGTTTCAACAGAGATGTTTACATAATGTGATTAAATATTATTAACATTCTATTATTGGGAAGACAGAAAAGTATTGGGGAAAACAGAAAAGTATTCTACCATATTAATTACAATTTAGTATGTCAATATTGCAAGCATAAATTTGGCATTTTCATTCAAAGTTTAGTATAACTAAAAAAACATTAAAACACACATCAAATTATATGTTACATAAAGCGCTTTGATCTTAACATGACTACTTATGATTAGTCTCTTTTGTATTATTTAGTATACATGCGTATGTATGCATGTTAAAGAAATGTTAATAGAAGGGAAAAAAGAGATAAAAACATGTTTTAACAAGAATTAAAATACCCCAAAGTAGAAAAAAAGGAAAAAGGAACAAAGAAAATTAACTGTGATTTTAAAATACTAAAGGTTTATTTTTTACCAGCAATACAGCAATTGAATATTATTTTTATTAGTATTAGTAGAAAATGAAGTATTTTAAGGTTTTTTTAAAAAAAGAAAATGGTAACTTACCTAGCCTTACAAGATACGTTGATGTAATTAAACATTTGCCAAGAGACTCTTCCCGCTTATATGGTATGGACCAGTGATCTGTTAATACTCTGCTCTCCAATTCATAAAGATTTGTTGTAGGAAACTCTATACCTTCTCCAGAGCAGTTCCCATTTTCATCATTCTTCTGATGGGAAAAAAAGCTATATGTGAGTTATAGCTAACAGAAGATATAAATAGCAACATGCCAATTCTGTCCTTAAAAAATTGATTTACTAATTACGGCAAAGTTTTCATTATAAGTAGAAACCTGAATTCACTTGCTCTGTCAACTTGCTATTTCTATACGTCGCAAGAAAATCAAAAGGCACCCCAAATTGGGAGAACTATTATTGAATCTAGTATGTGCGTACACTGTAGTACAGATGAACCATACTGTGTTTTAAAAAACAATTATATTCATATATGTTAGAAATTACAAATAGTTTCTATACATATTTTTTCCTCAAAATTATAAAAACAAAACAAACCTTAAAGAGAATATGGGCAACATTAATTCAATTAATTCAGAATACTTAAAGAGAACACATATAAAAGTAACATATAATTGTTACACTGATAATTTATGAAACCAGATGATCATGCTTATCAGGAGCCAATGTACAGTCAAACAGTTTTGCTAAAAAAAAAAGGCAAAAAGGATTATCCATTCAGAGATACTCTTTTCATCAGGTCTCAAGCACCTTCCTTATCATGCAATTTCTCCTACTGTATCTAGTTTTGCTTGTACAGTAAGCAAGGATGGATAATCGAGCAGTTACTATAACGGCCTTCTAAGGGATATAAATTGCTCTTGGTTAGTAATGGCAATTGGGACTGGAATTTCCATTGCTTAGTGACACGGTCATAAAGTGTGCTGTCAAATGATGTGCTGCTTAGTGGCGACAGTTCCAACATTTCTGGTTGCCATTGTTAAGTGAATCTTGCAATGTCATCAAGCGTCATATCACATGGTTGCCGTTTGTGACCTCTTGGCAGCTTCCTGTTGACTCTGCTGGGAAGCCAGCAATGAAGATCACAAATGGCAAACACGTGACTGAGGAAAGCTGCAACATCATAATGATCCAGTTGCCTGAATCGCAGCCATTTGACTTTGAGGACTCTAAAGATCTGTTTATAGATAAAAGATGAAATATGAGAAGAAGATACTTGTGTTTTCAGAGAAAGTGATAAGTTACTTTGCCAAAAGTAACAGGAAGACAAACCAAGGTTTATGTTATAATATATGTTATTTCTGAGAACACTTAAATTGACTTTTTCTGCCTGGACTGAATGATGGGAAATTTTAAGAATTTATTTGTAGATAAGAAATAAGATATTGGAAAAAGAGATTTTTTTATTGTATTTTCAAAGAAAGTAATAAGTTACTAATGAAGTTGGAAGTCACTTTATATATTTTACTTTTTTTTAGTATATTCTTATTTTTTCTTTCATTTTTTTAACTTTTTGCACTTTCTATCTTTTAACCTGCTTATTCTTTATTAGTTTTTTAATTTTTGTAATTGTAAACTTTCATATAAATTTGAAGGGCTACTATACAAATGGTCCTTAAGTGAGAACCACCAGTATTTTTCCAACTTTCCTGACATTTCCCGCTAAAGACAGAGGTTTTACAGATGCTAAACCAGTCAAAACTTTAATATATTCTACAGGAACCTGTGAGTTACACTTGTATCTTTCTATAATATATACTATATATGCCATTTATATTGTATGTCGTCCATTCACATACATTTTTGATAGATATTATATACTAAAAATACATGTAAAGTATTCAAGCTGGGAGAAAAAAGCAAGCAGAAAAGGAAAGCAACACTAAAGTAGAAAGAAGCAAGATATATTATTTCTGTCCAGAAGCAAGACTCCTTAATGTATCTGCATGTTGGCACAAATAAGATAAACAAATCCAGCCTAAGTGAACTTAGTATACAATAATATCTTAAACTTTATTTGCTAGAAAATTAAGTACTTAGATTATAATTAAAACATATTGTAAATAATTGGTGTAATTCATTTTTCCAATAAAGAATAAACTGAAAGAAGGGTTGACTTAATTTATTATGTAAGCTTTAACAAGCATTTAAAGCTCTGTAGTAAAAAGTTGCTGCTACAGAGCTTCAATTAATTTATAAATCATTCATATAAAACACAAAGTTAAAATTGGAGATCTTCACTAAGTTTAACTCAAAGGCCATGTGAGCTTTTCTCTCTTCCAGTTTAATAAAATGCCCTTCCATACACATTGGGCTATATCTCTCTTAATCCATACTGGGAGTTGAAGGTAAAACTGCTTGGCATAAGATGTATAAAGCAATGTATGGGTAAAGAAGCAGAGGAATCCAACCATCAAGCCAGGTTTTCTAGCCACAGATCTTATTGATAGTCTCAAAATGGAGATCAAAGTATTAAAGGCATTTATAATTAGGAACTGCTACAAATACAAAATTGATCCTTAAATTCCACACTGGAGAAGTAAAGGCAGACTCTCTATTCTGATTACATAAAGGATGCCCATTTCTGTATCAGGTGCAGATATAGGAATTACAGACATCAAGGAAAGCAACAATGCGTTACAAAAACAAAACTTCCTAGTTTTGTTTTCAACTAATGTATCCTATGGGAATTGCATATTTTTTCCACTTCTTTTTTCTGCTGTCCAACTTATTCACTAGATGTAGTCCTCGACTTACACCAGTTTATTTAGTGACCGTTCAAAGTTACAACAGCCCTGAAAAAAGCGACTTAAGACTTTTCTCACACTTATAACTGTTGCAGCATCCCCACTGTAATGTGATCAAAATGCACATGCTTTATAACTGGTTCATATTTATGACAATTACAATGTCCCAGGGCTACGTGATCACCTTTTGCCACCTTCTGACAAGCAATGGGAAAGTCAGACTCACTTAATAACCATGTTACTAACTTAATAATTTGTGATTCATTTGACAATTGGGGCAAGAAAGGTCGTAAAATGGGGCAAAATTCACATAACAAATGTTTCACTTAACAACAGAAATATTGAGCTCAATTGTGATTGTAAGTTGAGGACTACCAAATTATTTCCAAAACATTTAAATAACAAACTAGAAAAATCTTAAAACTTTTTTCTACTGGAATTCAATAGATCTCCTCCCCAAACACAATATCTTTATTTTTTTACTTTTGCTCAATTGAGACTATTTGTGACTTTCCCAGTTGATTTCAAACAAGTAAACAAAAGGAGGGAAGCCAGATTCACTTAAGAACCATGTGACTCACTTAACAACTGCAATGATATACTTAACCATGGCAAAAAATGTTATACAATTGGGTGCAACTCGCTTAACAACTGCCTTGTTTACCAATAGAAATTCTGGTCGCAGTTGTGGTTTGAAGTTGAGGACTAGGTGTACAAAGTAGTGTCAAGTATGGGTTTAACAATAGAGCAATAAAACTGCAATGAAATCTCCAATATCTGAAAAAGACACCCGCTCCCAAAAAGGTGGGGGGGACGATTCATTGCACATTGGCTACTCACTGAACGGGCTATTTAAAATCACTGTGTACTCGGACAAGTTTCAAAACCTGTGACTGCTAGTCATAGGTTTTCTTTCCCAGTGTCAGGTCACTGTGTCATTTATAACTGTTATACTTTTTGCTAATGGTTCCTGTTTCTAAAATACACATCAAGAAGTATAGAGCAGGAAACTAGGAAAACATAACAAGCAAATGACAGAGGGAGTATTAAATAATACAATATTCATATTGCACTTCAGTAGTAAGGAAGAACACATTGTGATTGCCCCCATCCCTCACCCCCTTCCACCCCCCTCCACCCGCCACAGTGGCAGAAACTTCGCCGCACGTGGAAACGAGTGGAGGGGGTGGGAGAGCAGCAACGCCGCTCAAAGCTGAGAAAGCGCCATCCTTGCTTTTGCGCTTCGGGAAGAGTTCGTGCCCACAGGGCAATGTGAGAAGCACAGATAAGGACAGAACATCTTAAGATGCAGCAAAAATCTAAACTCTTGCTTGTTTTTCTTCAAAATATATTGGGGAGGGAAGTGTTATTTCTAATGTCAATTAGTGCCTCAATTAAAACAGGTCTTGCTCTAGGTTTCTGTATATTATGCTTGATCTAAGACGGGGTCTTCAAACTTGACAGCTTTAAGACTTATGGACTTCAATTCCCAGAATTTCTTCTCTAGTCATGTTAGCTCAGGAATTCTGGGAGTTGAAGTCCACAAGTCTTAAAGCTGTCAAGTTTGAAGACCCTTGATCTAAGATAATGGCTAAAAGCAGAGTATATTTCTATTGTGCTTCATTTTTTACATAGCAGACAAGGTGCTACTGAAATGTTTCTCATAATCAAATCTAGGGTTATACGCACTTTGAAAGTGATTCATTAAAAGTATTAGACTTCATACAACCAAAGCATCTCTTCAGTCTTCATTAAAGGAGTCTCTGCAAGCCTGAAAAAAGTCTTATAAATTTTAAAGAAAAGCCTGAATAAAGGTGGATTGCTTTAATAAAGAGCAGAGAAGTGCTGCACTCATGTGGATTTTGACACACTTGCTCAATTCATTTTTGAAGCATGCATTGTCCTATTAAATACAATGTATATATCATCTCTATATAGGCTATTATAGCAATAATCATTTTTGTAAGAAGTTTTAATTTGGAATGTCTCTAATTACTTCTAAATAATTGGGAGCTCCTTGAGAAAAACAACATTGTTTGCAATGAAATGGCTGTTATCTGAAGAATAGTTGCTAAATAAAATACAGCGGCATTCTGGATCTGTTGCAACTTATATATGCTTTACAAGGGCAGACCCACACTGCACAATAGTCCAATCCAGGTGACCAAATAATAAGTGATATGCCTATTATTCCAGAAGAGGTTGTAACTGGTATACAAGGTAAAAATCTGCAAAACATTTGTGGCCACAACTAGTTATAAAAAAATAACATCAAACTTTGATATGTAAAAGTAGTGACAGTAGTGAAAGTTACAGTAAGAGTGATGTGGTGAATGAAAGTGCAGTAATGAGTAAAAGTAATAACTAGAAGTGACAATATGGTCAGACCAAAATCACAAATAAAAATCTCATTGATGGTGTCAATACCGATAAAAGAGACTTAATTT